GCCAGAAGCTTTTCGACACGTTCATTTTGGCGAGCTTCCTTAAAAGCAATCCGTGGTCCACCAGATCATTTGCTTTGCAAAAGTCAATAAATAGGGCGTGGATACCCATTCTTCCATCACGTGAGTTTTCAGTCTTGTTGAACCAATTTTGGGTGATGCTCGCCAGTGCAGATACAGTTGATCTACCGTGTGTAAATGCATGTTGATTGTCCTTGATCTTAAGGTCCCCTTTGTTTAATTTAAGTTGGATGCTTTCTAAGACTTTAGCCAATTGTGGTAATACTGAGATTTGGCGAAAATCATTATCCATATCATTAGGAGGGTATATTTTAGGCACTGGGGTGACCAATGGGGTTGGGTATTTAGCCTGGGAGATGCTAGAGCATATGATGTTATGAATAACAGGGGCAAGTTCTTCATGGTAACGTTTCAGTAACCATGGAGGGATCTCATCTGAGCCAGTGGCCTTCCTGGGATTTAGATGTTTAAGGGTAGCCTTAATTTGTCCGATGGAAGGCAACGGGGGACTGGTATCATTCTTAAGTAGGAGTTCAATTTCCCCAACGTCCGGAATTTCAGTGGGGTTGGCATTCTGCCAAGGTTTGGTGAAGCTTTGTTGCAAGCGTTCCGCTAACTCTGCTGCATCAGCTGGTGGTTGAGAGTTACAGTCATTAGCGGCAGCAAGTTCAAATATGGTTTTGTACCACTTTGCCGGATTCGTTTCGCGTGTACCCTCTGCTTTTAGTTGATAGTAATTCTTTTTCGCATTTGATACAAGTGAGGTAACTTTGTCACATAATAGTTTGTACCTTCTTATATCTCCAGATTTAAACGCCTTTTGCCTAGCTTTTATTTCATGCTTTATAGAGTTTTTGGTGTTCTTAGGTCATACTTGTTCGTCACCATGTCTGGTATGTACTTCCTGCATGGGTGTGTTTCGTCATTAATGATTTTCTCGTACTCGCGAATTGAAAGTTTATCCCGACGTTGTTCTAGAGATTGAAGAGAATCAGAAGGTAGACCCAAAATTTTCAGGCTTCTATTCTGGTGGGGCCGCATATTCCAAAACTGGTCTTAATTTGGATTCATAGCACGTCAAACCCACATTAGTTGGTAGATCTGCTCAACGACACTCTCGTAGGTAGAATAAGCGTTTGTTTGCCCTCCTTGCAATTTCGTCAATGTGGGTGTTCCATTTAAGGGTATTGTCAATCCAAAGACCTAGCAACTTGAATGACTTTACTCTTTCAATTGTATCATCGCCAATTTTAAGATGTGGTGGTTCCGGAATTGCAGCTTTAAAGCAGATCCACATGTCTTTCGTCTTTTTCGCGTTATGTTTCATCTTGTTTCTATGTGCCCAGTCGTTTATTATCGAGCACCTCTTGCATGTTGGTAGTAGAACCGTATGGAATCACTTCATCTTGAGTGCAGTCATCTGCGTATTTGTGCGTATTGATGTCCAGATAATTGGGAATGCAGTCTTCGAGGTCATCCACATGAACATTAAACAATGTTGGTGATATAACAGATCCCTGGGAGACTCCGGAAGGGCAAGGCCTTATAGATAACAGAGCACCTTGTAATTTTAGTTGCTGACTCCTCCCTTCTAGAAAGCTCCGTGTCCATAGCCAGAAGCGGTCCACCAGATCATTTGCTTTGCAAAAGTCAATAAATAGGGCGTGGATACCCATTCTTCCATCACGTGAGTTTTCAGTCTTGTTGAACCAATTTTGGGTGATGCTCGCCAGTGCAGATACAGTTGATCTACCGTGTGTAAATGCATGTTGATTGTCCTTGATCTTAAGGTCCCCTTTGTTTTATTTAAGTTGGATGCTTTCTAAGACTTTAGCCAATTGCGGTAATACTGAGATTTGGCGAAAATCATTATCCATGTCATTAGGAGGGTATATTTTAGTCACTGGGGTGACCAATGCGTGTTTATATAGGGTTGGGTATTTAGCCTGGGAGATGCTAGAGCATATGATGTTATGAATAACAGGGGCAAGTTCTTCATGGTAACGTTTCAGTAACCATGGAGGGATCTCATCTGAGCCAGTGGCCTTCCTGGGATTTAGATGTTTAAGGGTAGCCTTAATTTGTCCGATGGAAGGCAACGGGGGACTGGTATCATTCTTAAGTAGGTGTTCAATTTCCCCAACGTCCGGAATTTCAGTGGGGTTGGCATTCTGCCAAGGTTTGGTGAAGCTTTGTTGCAGGCGTTCCGCTAAGTCTGCTGCATCAGCTGGTGGTTGAGAGTTACAGTCATTAGCGGCAGCAAGTTCAAATATGGTTTTGTACCACTTTGCCGGATTCGTTTCGCGTGTACCCTCTGCTTTTAGTTGATAGTAATTCTTTTTCGCATTTGATACAAGTGAGGTAACTTTGTCACATAATAGTTTGTACCTTGTTATATCTCCAGATTTAAACGCCTTTTGCCTAGCTTTTATTTCATGCTTTATACGCGGTGTCATCCACGGCTTGTCGGAGGGGTGGGCACGTACAGTGCGTTTAGGCAGCGATTTATCAAGCATGCGCACGATAGTACAAGTGAACGCACTTACTTTGTCGTCAACCTCTCTGGCATCGTAGACTGTTTCCCAGTTCTCTCTATTCATATGTATGCCCAGTTCGATTAGGTTACTACATTTCGTCAGGCGCACTTTTCGGGAGACCGGTTTAACCTTTTGTTTCAACTTTGGGGTGAGCAGTAAGCACTGGTGGTCGGAACGGCCGATCGGTGGCAGATGTTGAACATCATTGTATAGCTCTGGCATATTGGTAAGGATTTGGTCTAGAATATTTCTACCTCTTGTAGGAGCCCGTACGGTTTTTTTAAGGTTGAAACGTCTACATAGTGGGTTCAGTCTCATTTTGTTGAAATCTCCGGCGATAATTACGCCAGCTGAAGGGTGGTCCTGCAAAATGTTGTCAAGTCCGTTAGTAACATACTCGTACATTTCTCTTTCATCTTCAATTGTCTGTCCAGGTGGGTAGTACACACCAATAACTATTATCGCACTATAGGGCCTGGGGGTTCTGGGCGGTTTAAGTAAGAGCCGTAGGACTTCTTTCCCATCCTCTTCAAGATTTCTTAGGCGGGTAGTTGGTATTTTGTTATTCACGTAGACTAAGACACCGCCGCCGGGCGTGGGACGATCACGACGATGTGCATTGAGTTTATTGCTTATTTCCACAGCAGTATCCGGGATGTTTGAGTTCAGCCAAGACTCTGTAATTATGATCAAGGAGGGGTTATTGACTGCGGCAATTCCAGAGAGTTCAGTTATTTTGTTCGTTACATGACATGCGTTGGTTAAGAGTATAGATGGAACTGAATAGGCAATTGATGATTCACATATATTGTTTTTCCTTATTGGAATAAGTATTAAGTTACGACTGAGTTTTTGGTTAGTAGACCTCTGTACTAGTCGACGGTTGGTTATTCTAACCGGGATGGTTTCAGACTCATTCAAACGATTAGATATTGGACCAAAAGATGTATATGCCAAGTCAGGTATTACGTACTGGTTCTGGTTATTTGGTTGACTAGGTCCAAATATTTGAGCCAGTCCGGAGGGCGACGTTTCGAACGATGTTGCCGAAAATTTATCAGGTTTGGCCGCAGGCAATTATTTGTATTTGTTCTAGAGAGAGACTGGATGAAATTTGGTGGTTCAGAGCACTCAACATGCGAATTAGTTTCGTCTGGATCGTTGAATTGAGCATTAGTTGCTTCCTTAATTTCATTTCTGTATGAAAATTCGTCTGTCTCAATTGGTTCTAGGGGTTCAAGCAAAGGTAGCCATTTCAACCATTCGTGTGGTTGTTTGCTAGGTAGACTGTGTTTGTATTTCTTTTCGCTTTGATCCTGATCGCTATGTTCTATCCTGTTATTCGTGTCGCAGTGTGTGACGTCTGTTGTGCCGTTTGCCATTTGTTTTAGACTATTATTTGTATTCAATGATGTTTTATGGCCTTTGTATTTGGTGTTAGGTTTAGGTTTAATTCTGCGTATGACACTTTGTTCAGAAGAACAATCGGCATCTCGAATAGCTTCGCCTTGATCATTGTATTGAATGTTAGTCGCTTCCTTAATTTCACATTTGTTTATGTGGGAAATTTTGTCTGTCTTATTTAGTTCTAGGGGATCAAGCGCAGGGTTCAACCACTCGTTTTGATCTTGATTGCTTTTTAAATTAACGCGTGATTGATTTGTATTTTCATCCAAGGCCAAGGGTTTTATAATCGATATTTCGTCATTGTTTAACTGATTCAATGGAGGTTGTATTGGCGGCGAGGCAGTCTTACTCTCATTGTTCTCTGGGGAATTCTCATTCGTTGTTAATTTCTTTGGTAGGGGATTATCTAGTTTGGCTTCTAATGCATCAATTCTGCTTTGCATATTAGACAATTGGTCTCTGAGTTTATTGATCGATTCAGTGTTTTGGCTAGTATCTTTTTGGTTTATTGAGATACTGTTTGAAAGCTTAGATTGATTAATTACAACATCGAGTTTAACGCCTTCCAGATCCATAGACAAGTCATAATATTCAGAGCGAGATGAGTTTTCTGTTTGATTATCGTTGTTTAGGACATCGGACTTGTATAATTGTTTTGAATCGGCGTTTATGATAGTCGGCTTGTTGAGCGAGTTGTAGATTTTATGCGTTAAATCATATAAACAGTTAACTTTTCTCTCAACTGTTAAGTTATTTTCAGGTACTGAATCAACTGTTAATATTACATTTAAATTTTCTGTAGTGCAATCATGTAAATCGTTACTAACCTCATTGTTGTTATCAAGATTGGTAGGCTCATTAGGTACACTAGGGCAAGTGTCTTTTGTGTTACAAGGATTCAGATTACCATATTTATCCACTTCAAGTGTTGGCGCTTTCGAAGCTGCACTACAATGATTTGTCTCTTTCCAGTTCACAAAATCCCGAAGTTGTGTAATCATCGACGCGAGTTGTGCAACAGACCCCGATAGCGCTTGAATCGCTTCTCCACTGATCAACTGTCCCTGTTTAAGAGTTCCAATCCCCTCACAAGTACATGATGATTGCACGCTTGATCGCCTCGAGACAGGCGTTTCTGAGCTGTCTTCGTCTTGCCCACATATAATTTTACACAACTTTCCCACGATATCGTTTGCTCTCTTCCCATCGATACTCAGCAAGTTCTTATTCCTTCGCCAAATTATCGTTGCTTCATCTCCAGTGAATAGCTTTTTATCTCCTCCAGGCTGCGACCAAACGCCTTCCAGCTGCAGATCGTCGCTTATAAAATTCTTCAGGGATTGATAATCACCAGTCCATGCTAAGCTAAGCTTTTCACCAAATAATATCGCCATAACCTTTAGTATTTTAAAGAACAAGAATAAGAAATATTTGCAATGAATAGGCAATTCCAGCTTTTAGTTTATGCCTGCTGGGGATGATGGGAAGTAAGGTATCATATTGCTCGAGGGGCATTTCACTCCAAAAAAGCGTACGGGATTTTCGGATTTTTAAAAATTCGCGGATTTTTTAGCGGATTTAGCGGATTTTTCCCGGATTTTTTAGCGGATTTTTGAAGAGAAAATTTGCTGGATTTTCCGGATTTGTTTGGATTTTCCGGATTTGTTCGGATTTTTTCTGGATTTTTTTTAATTATAGAGTTATAGAGCTAGGTAACGTTTTGAACAAATAATCTTAAGTTGTACGACGTCAACGTTATGCCAGGACGGTCAGGGTCGAGCAGAGGACTGGGACTAGGACCACAGCCTTCAGAAACTAACGAAGGCTGGGCATGCAGTCATTTTGTTTAAAATTCAAACAAGTTCATTATTCTTTCAAAAACAGTAAAAGACAATGGTGAATAACTTTTGGTTTTGTAATTATATTTTACAACATAACGTCATTGTAACAAGAACACATATTTAGTAGTAATAGGCTAAAAAAACTTGGCATATACTCGAGCGTATAAATGGAAATGTAGAGTGGTCCAATAATTACGAAATATAATGACAGCGATCACGGTAAGCGTTTAGCTTTCGCTGTCCGCCATTTTGAACGTGGCATAGAACCTTTACGAGTAAATTACACCAAGTACGTCATATATTTTTTGTGGATTTGTGGATTTTTAAGGATTTTGAAGGATTTCCGTGGATTTTTGAAGGATTTCTGTGGTTTTTAAAGGATTTTTCGGATTTTGATGGATTCAACGGATTTTGAGGATTTCATGGATTTTTTCTGGATTTTTTCCGGATTTTTTGACGAAGTGTACGGGATTTTTGGAGTGAATTGCCCCTCGATATTGCTGATTATGCTGAAAAATTTCAATAAAAACTACCGAAACAACCGAAATATTTCAATATTTACATGTATAAGTTATCACCCCGTGTTTACACGGCCACCATTTTTATTTTTTTAGCATAATCAGCAATATGATACCTTTCTCCCCATCGTCGCCTGCACGCATAAACTAAAAGCTGGAATTGCCTATTGGAATCATCCATAATTTATGCATCAACATTTTCAAAAACGGCCAATTAGACCAGGCATTTTTAAATCCAAAAACATAATTAAATCGTACGGCACATTCAAGATTTTATTAATATCGTATTTCAGCAGCGTTAATACTGATTGGCGCATTCGCTGCGTTATATTCATTTATATATATACACATACAAAACAAGTGAAACTCCAAAAATCGATAACATTTTTATTTATCTACGTTTCGACTATATTTCAGTCATCATCAGGATAAACTAGCTAGGTTATATATCAAAAGCGGTATTTATATGAAGAAATATGATACAATAGTTAGGTTGATTAATGAAATATGATTAGTTCTTTAGAAGCTTTAAGTCCATGATTAAGTTCAGGTTTATATCTTTGAAAAGCGAGGGATTCTTGATATAGTAAAAGGGACCAATGGTTAGATTTATCAATTATTTTAGTGTAATTATTTATCAATTATTTTTATTTATCAATTATTTTTATTTTAATTATTTTTATTATATATACACATATTTATTACTAATAAATCACTATATGATAATATATAGAACTCACAAAGTGCATAAATAAACCTTTTTAAAGCATGTCATTGCAGACCAGAGGCAAAAACCAAAAAGCATTGTCAACCAGACAACCACATACCAAATTTAAGCAATCGTGAAATCATATACATGAAAGAATATGGAAATAATGTTGAATGAAAACATCGCGTATAATGTTAAAAGCACCGCGTATAATGCTTGAACCACTGCGTATAATTGCGAAACCACCGCGTATATTAAAATGGTGAAAGCACCGCGTATAATGGTAAAAGCACCCGGTATGAATGGCGAAAGCACCGCGTATAATCGGCTCCAACCACCGCGTATATTGGCGAAAGCACCGCATATAATGCCGAAACCACCGCCGTATTATGCTAAAAGCACCCAACAAACTGCCGTTTGATCACTTTAAGATAGTTATGGCTTTCCATGAAAGAAGACCAAAGATGAAAGATGATCACATTGCCTATTTGCCTTATGCCTGACCGCGCTGCACCACGGTCAAAATTCACTGGTACCGTCATGCAATGCGCCAAATAGAAAATTTTGTTTTCGACACACGAAACAAAATTAGGATCTGCTGCCTTGCTCGCTCGCTTCAGGCTCGCTCGCTGCGGCAGCAATGATGTCACAGTTGAACACTTACCGTTGCTATCGTGGAATGACATAAAATAGCACGAAAAGTTCAATCAGATAATTTATTACTCACAAAACCATTAAGACCTTTTGTACATCAATTTAATAATACTGATACATAAAATTATACAAAATTATGTTACCATGGAAACATGATGACATCATAACAACGTCATGGCCCTGAACAATAATGAGACATAAAGATACTTTTTCCACCATAAAACATCTATTTTTTACGAAATAAGCGTTGGGGTAGAATCCTGCCTTAACCTCGTTCCCATGATTTGCGCTCGTGTTACCATCCCCACTGCATTTTCACTGGGAGGGGGTAACAAAGCTAAAGCGCCTTGCTGCAAAGTTGTAATTATCCTCTGTTGGTAACCTAGAATAGATGGCAAATTGCGCGTCGTCCGCAAGATTGCAGCTCAAGTGTTTAAATGCGCATTAATATTATCCGGCACAAATAATTAGAGTAAGCTAGCCAAGGTTAATGCATTTTATAGTTCATTGCATCGGTGAACGCATGCGCTAGGAGAACTTTTACCACACACGTCTAGCTGTTTCAATATCCAATTAATTGTTGTGAAAAATAAAAAAATACTTTCAAGTCCACAGAAATATACTTATGTACTGAACAATAAATGGAACTAGAAAGCACCGGCGGAGACTCGGAACAAGTAAAAAATTTGATCAATTCATCTTTGCGCAATGTTCATTAGTTCCAGAAATTTTCGTGTTAATATATTTGATATTGTTTAAGTTATCTTGCTAACACTGAGACACATACACATTGACACACACATACAAACGTTGATGAAAACATAACCTCCATAACTAGATTTACTGACGAGCAGAATTTTAGTCAGACAAATTATGGAAAGTCTTTAAATTTAGCTCCTCAAAATTTCTGAATCATTAATTCGGTTTAAATTAAGGGCTTTTAGATCAGTCTTAGTCTTATATATTTACTCAGATATAACTATAATAGTATTTATTCCCTTTACACATCATTCCGGCTATATTATTAATTAACGAACTGAAATGATCAACTGGAACGCCTATATATGCAACTTTGGCCTCTGCGCACAGATTAACGGATTATACATATATGTATAATAGTTTATCATTCTTAATAATTATTGTTTTGTTGTACTGGTGAAAAAGTCCTGTGCTAATAGGCTTCTTCTTTAATCTTCTTCTTCTTCTTTGCCTGTAACTTTGATGGAATCATATAGGTTCTATGAACAGAAACTGTGCTTTTAAAAATAATTTCTGATGGGTGATTCTGTTTGTTGGATGGAGGTCTACGTTGTGCAGACTGCCAGAAGTCCTACCGTAGAAGTATTGCGGTACAATCCATGCACCCGTGACCTCGTTACCATGATTTTCGCTCGTGTTACCATTTTCACTGAATTTTCGGGGGGGGAGGGGTTGCAAAGCTAAAGCGCCTTGGTTCAAGGTTGAAATTTTCCTCTATTGATAACCTAGAATAGATATGGCAAAGTGCGCGTCGTCCGCACGATTGCAGTTCAAGTGTTTAAATGCGCATTAATATTATCTGGCGCAAATAATTAGATCTAAGCGCGCCAAAGCTCGCCAAGGTTACTGCGGTATGTTATAGTTCATTGCATCGGTGAACGCATGCGCTAGGAGGGCTTTTACCACACACGGTCTAGCTGTTTCAATATCCAAGTAATATGCAATTATTGTGAAAAATAAAAAAACACTTTCAAGTCCACAGAAATATACTTATATGTACTGAACAATAAATGGAACTAGAAAGCACCCGCGAAGACTAGGAACAAAAAATTGATCCATTTATCTTTGTGCAATATGTCCATTAGTCCCACAAAGTTTCGTGTTGATGTGTTTGATATTTTTTAAGTTATCTTGCTAACAGACACACATGCACACACATACAAACACTGATGAAAACATGTCTTCCATAACTAGATTCGCTGTTGCGCGGAAATTTAGACAAATTATGGAAAGCCTTTTAATTTAGCTCCTTAAAATTTCTGAATCACTTGATAATGCGGTAAATGTTCATTTAAAATTCTGTTATATTATGGGCTTTTAGATCAATCGTATAGTCATATATATTTACTCAGATATAACTGTAATTGTGTATTCCCTTTATACGTCATTCCATCTATATTATTAATTAATGAACTGAAACGCAATGATCAATTTGGACGCCTTGATGCAACTTTGGCCACTGCGCACAGATTAACGAATTCAGTATACATATAAAATATTTTATCATGTCATAATATATAATTATTGTTTCATTGTACTGGTGAAAAATTGCTGTGCTAATAGGCTTCTTCTTCAATCTTCTTTTTTGCCTGTAACTCTAATGGATTCATAGGTTTTATGAGTGATCCTGTTTGTAGAAGTTCCACCGTTGAAGTATTGGAGTGTAGAATGGGCTCCGTGACCTCGTTCCCATGATTTCCGTTCGTGTTACTATTTTCACTGCATTTTCTGGGGGGGGGGGGGTTAAAGCGCCTTGCTCCAAGGTTGAAATTTTCCTCTATTGGTAACTACAATCGTCCACAAAATATTTGAGACATACCCCCTCCCCCGATTTCAAAGTTGTTAGGCATTACAATATAGTTTAAATCCAACATCATATGTTAAATTTCAACTGCCAGTGACACAGTTGCGGTTCTAGTGTCACCTTATGTTCGTTTTGGATAAGTACAGTAGGTTTCAACATTGAAATAAGGGGGGAGGGGATTGATTTAAATAGTCTCAATATATTTTGTGGACGATTGTAGAACTGATAGATGGTGCGCGTCGTCCGCAAGATTGCAGCTCAAGTGTTTAAATGCGCATTAATATTATCTGACGCAAATAATTAGAGTATGCCAAGGTTAACTGTTATAGTTCATTGCATGCATGGTAAACGCATGCGCTAGGACCGAACCGAACATATGAACTTGCTAAGTCACATGACACTGGTCGTATCGTTAATTGAACAAATTCAACGAGTCGTACCGGTCTACGAATGGCGTGAGGGGCTTACTATTAAATTAGAAGCATATATACAGGGTCACGGTCTAAAAAAAGAAACGCTATGGAAATTCAACAGGCTATCGTGCACGGCATAAACGTGGCTAAACAATTAAATTTTTACATAGGACGAAAGAACAGTTATTTAGCTTTTCAATGATACTCTTTTTAAATCGTAACGATGAGAAATGGCCACATACTCGTCAAATAGAAATTGCCGGTCGACAAACGAACATAGACTGATAGACAACATGGAAAACGAACATAGACTGATAGACAACTCCCAAGAGGGAATTAAAACTGAATGTTAAATTGTCGAAAATGAGCTCAACTCGTCAATCTTCGTCTTAGTGAGATAATAACTCAATATAAGAACGTCATTAAACATGGTTCAATTAACCCATGAACAGAGAACATTCGTAATCAAAACCTTTTACGAAACAAATAGGTTGCAGCAGGCTCGCGTTGCTTTTGGATTGACTAACTTTGTATAACATTATTAACTTATTTGCAATTCCCAACGGTGGAAGAATATGATTTCGACCGGCCATTTTTATTTGACCATTTCATTTGAGTATGTGGCCATTTCTCATCGTTACGATTTAAAATATAGGTATCATTGAAAAGCTAAATAACATGAGCTCTTTCGTCCTATGTAAAAATTGAATTATTTAGCAAAGTTTATGATGATCGAACGACAGCCTGTTGAATTTCCATAGCCTTGTATAACCACATGCGTGTAATAAGTAAGTAATATTACGACTTGCAACACGCACGAATGCAGCTGAAGTGTTTAATTGTGCATTGAATATTATCCGGCGCAAATAGTTGGAGTGCGCCAAGGTTTAATATCCAATATATAATTATCAGAGAGAACTTATTATAATAAGTTCTTTGTACGTTTGCATCGCGATAAAACAGTTAAAACATGCAGTTCTATTATTAGCACTGATGAAGATCCGGGCTTACGGATCGAAAGCTTTGCAGTAATAAATTTACATGGTGTTTCCACAAACAAACAAAACTATTATAAGAAATATCTACTCGTCAGTGTCACTTGAACAATAAATGGAACTAAAGGAGTCAATTAAGAAAATCTGGGAATCAATTGATTATGAAATGAAATGTTCATTTAAAATTCGGTTGAAGGGCTTTTAGATCAATCTCAGTTTTATTTGCTTAGATGACAGATATAATTAACAGTTATTCTACGAACTCGAGTCGAATATGAGCTGATAGCCGATGAGGCGCGCAGCGCCGAATCGGCTATCGCTCATATTCGACGAGAGTGAGTGGAACAACTGTTTTATTATATACACAAGGTCTGAATTCACAGACTTTGCTTTTCGAATATTTTCAATATTTTTCTATTTTGTTTATATTTTTGTCTTCGCTCTTTCGGCTGATTATTTTTTCAAAAATATATATTTTTAACCATTTAAAACTTTAAAATTTTATTGGCTAACCTGAACACAATTTGTGGGAGTTTTTTCATTGTTTTTAATCCTGTAAAGGTTATAAAAAGTGACAACTTGTCGTTTTCTCGTTTGCAAAACATCGGAATTGGGCTAGTATTCCAAAGGTCGTAGATCCGAATCCCGCCGTGGCCAGGCATATTTTTCAAGCCCGCCCGGTGTGGATATACACTCAGAGTAACATCACACAAACATCTTATTCACCTGAGTACATTACACCAACACAGCAGATTTCATAAATATTAGATTACACTGATATTTTGTTTTTCTCTATACTAGCAGGATATGAGCTAATATCCTGCTAGTAGAGAACCAATCAGATTACAGAATACCTCATATCCAGACCTTGTGTATATAATAACACTAATTATTTATTCCCTTTATTCCAGTATATTATTAGTTAATGAACTGAAATGCAATACAGATGAACGAATTATATACATGTATAATAATAGTTTATCATACTTAGCTATATGCGGTGTAAATTTAAAATTGCTGTGCTAATAGAATTTTTCTTCAATCTTCGTCTTCTTTGCGTGTAACAGAGAATTGATTGATAGGTTATATGAACAGAAACTGTTCTTTTGAAAATAATTTCTTATGCATGCATGGTACGTTATCCGTTAAGTTTTGTATGTCTGGTACATTTCAGTGTCCGTGTTGTATCGCGTCAGTGTTGTATTGTATGGATAAACAAACTATATATAGTTATAATTTGATATGCTACTATGTAAATTTGCTGTGCTCATAAAATCCTTCCGTGCTAGTAACTCTAATTGATTCGAAATTCATAGTTGAAAATAATTTTTGATGGGTGATTCGCTTCAGTATCACTGGTTATCGCACCTCAAAATAGTTCCTGTTTTAACAGACGAGGGTTTATCTGAACTAGGAATCAGGATCTGAACGTTGAAAGTTTCCCCTGTAGAATACTTGTAACTTTGGAATGAATGAAGTGATTGGCATGGTTGTCTATAATCTATAATTGCAGTGACGTCGTCCGGAAGACTGCTCAAGTGTTGCCGGCCGCCGTCTTCCGCTGCCGACCGCAATGCGGGAGTGCAATTTGAATCACAAGTTACGTGAAAATTCTCCTAACAAATAATCTAAACATAAAAACATCCTACAAAATTCTCGATGTTAATAACACATGTCCAACTATTTTTACTGATTCCATAATTGCGGTCACAATTTCGTACGAAACCTGATTTGCTGATGAGCATGCAGAATCTTAGTCGGATCTATATATAACAACTCAATAGTCTAAAAACCGGTTTAAAAGAAACTCATGTTTACTCATATTTAACTAGTGATAGATAGATAGATAGTTTATTGAAGTTTACATTGCATGCAGCCATGGCCCATGAGCGCGCTGAATTAAGTAGAATTTACAAGAATTTATAGAGAATCCGATATCTTAGAACTGAAAGAATTCTAGTACAAGAATTCCACTATGCATTATATATGCATGTACAAGTTAAAAAATACTCTAATTATTTGTTCTCTTTCTACACCATTCCGTCTATATTATTAATGCACTGAGATGCAATGATCAACTCGAAAGCCTAGGCTATATGCCTCACTTTGGCCACTGCACACAGATTAACGAATTATACATGTATAGTCGTTTATCATATTTGCATGTAATTTATTAAACTGGCGTAAAATTACTGGCTAATAAAATTATTCTTCTTGTTTGGCTGCAACTCTAATTGATTGATGGGTTGTATGGACAGAAACTGTACTTTTAAGTTGTGTACCTGCATGAATATCTATAACGAATATACATGTATGAATATGGGATATCATGCTTATAATTTTGATATGCTGATGTAAAATTGCTGTGCTAATAAAATTCTTCTTTTTCTTTGACTTTAATTGATGTATAGGTTATATGAACAGAAACGTGCTTTTGAATTAATTTCTGATGGGTGATTCTGCTTGTTTGGTGAATGGAGTAGAAAGGGGGGGGGGGGGTAGCAAAGCTAAAGCACCTTGCTGCAAGGTTGAAATTTTCCTCTATTGGTAACCTAGAATAGATGGCAAAGTGCCCGTCGTGCACAGGTTTCTGCCTCAAGTGTTTAAATGCGCATTAATATTATCTGGCGCAAATAATTGGAATGTGCCAAGGTTAATGCGTGTTATAGTTCATTGCATGCATGGTAAACGCATGCGCTAGGAGAGCTTTTACCACACACGTCTAGCTGTTTCAATATCCGATTAATATACAATTGTTGTGAAAAACAAAAAATTACTTTCAAGTCTACAGAAATATACTTATGTACTGAACAATAAATGGAACAAGAAGACACCCACGGAGACTTGGAACAAAAATTTGATCAGTTTATCTTTGCGCAATATATCCATTATAATATTTTCTGTGAGCTAGAAGTTGACTCTATACTTGTTCTGGTGGGCAAGCTTGAAAAATATGCCTGGCCACGGTGAGAGTCGAACCTACGACCTTTGGAATACTAGCCCAATAACCTTTGGAATACTATTATGTCCATTAGTTCCAGAAATTTCGTGTTAATTTAATATGTTTGATATTTTTAAAGTTATCTTGCTAACGCTGAGACACATACACAATGACACACACATACTGATTTGCTGATGAGCAGAATTTTAGTCGCACAAATTATGGGAAACCTTCAAATTTATAGCTCCTAAAAGATTTTGGAATCAATTGATTATGCAATTGAAATGTTCATTTAAAATTCGGTTTTTATTAAGGGCTGCATTTAGATCAATCTCAGTCTTATTTACTCAGAACTATTAACTATAATTGTGTATTCCCTATACATCATTCAGTCTATATTATTAATTAATGAACTGAAACTACTCCGTGCGTCTGTCCTCTAATAATAGATCATGGCTCTCGACCAATGAAAGCGCTTGAATTCTTAACGTTATTATATCAAAATTATTTTAGACTGAATCAGAGACTGAATAATATGGCTTTAACTTCTAGGCATTTAATGTGTTTCTCAGATTCTCCATGGTCCCATGAGCCACCTGTAGGTATACTACCAAGGGAACAACCCCAACTCTCTTTGAGGAGTCATGCATGTGTTCATGGTTTTGTGATTATTTTTAAAGTTATCTTGCTAACACTGAGACGTATACACATTGACACACACATACATACGCTGATGAAAACATGACCTGCATAACTAGATTTGCTGACGAGCAGAATTTTAGTCAGACAAATTATGGAAAGTCTTTAAATTTAGCTCCTCAAAATTTCTGAATCATTAATTCGGTTTAAATTAAGGGCTTTTAGATCAATCTTAGTCTTAATATATGTTTACTCAGATATAACTATAATTATTCATTCCCTTTACTGATACATCATTCCGTTATTTATTCCCTTTACTGATACATCAACTTTGGCCACTGCGCACAGATTAACAATTATACATGTATAATAGTTTATCATACTTAGAATTTTGTTACACTGATGTACAATGCCGTGCAAATAAAATTCTTCTTCGCCTCTATAACTCTAATTGATTGTTAAGTAGGCCTAATATCTGTTAAAAATAATTTCTTATAGGTGATCCGTTACGACCTGGATTTCATATGAATGAGATTAATGAATCATGTAATATATAGTATACCATATACTGCACTTATATAATTTTGATATGCTGATATAAAATTGCTCTGCTAATAAAATTCTTCTTCTTTGCTTGTAACTCTAATTGGTTCTAAGTAATATGAACAGAAACCACATGTGGTTTTGAAAATAATTTCTAATGGGTGATCTGTTACCACCCGTAAATCGTGATTTTTACTGCGCAAATGTGCATTAATCACTGCACAAATCTTTTCATTTACAGTATCACTGCATGAACTGGTTATCGCACCTCAAAATAGTTCCTGTTTCAACACTCGGAGATTTTAACGGAATCCAGGCCCGAATGCCGAGCCATTGGTAGAAGTTCCACTATAGATTGAACCTTTGAGGGGTTCTCCCACGAATTCGTACACAGGAACGCCCGGCCTTGCGTTCAACGTTCCGGGGGTAGCAAATGTGAAGAGCCTTGCTGCGCGGGTAAAATTTTCCTCTATAGCATATGTGACCACGCAATTCATGCATTGGTTTGATGCCATAGAATATATTGCGATGACCTCGTCTCGACGATTTTCAAGAGTTTAATAATTTAATTGCACGTGGCAAGTGTGGGTTGTTAACTGGTGCAAAATGCGTGAAGGACAGTGCATGGCACTGTTTGGTCGGATTTTTCCTCCAAAAATGAGACCATATAAAGAGGCTCGCTACGGCAATCTTGTTCAATTTACTTCATCTTGCTGTTGGATTGAGATAAAGAGGACTAAATTGGGTATGTTATTTAATTTTATTTTATCGCAGCAATTTTTAGTATATTATATATGGTATAACACTATTTTCTTTGGGATCATTTCAGGTTCAATTTCAAGATTTTTTTATTTCGTTTGCCGTTCAAGACAAGGTATATGACAACATAATGTTTATTTATCGCATTGCATGCAATATAATTTAATACAAACTCTAAAACGTTTCACTTTAAAATATCTCCAATTTTCAGATTTCTTTCTGTTGGACTGAGATAAAGACCAATCATGAAAGCAGGTCAGTGTTTTTTGTTCTCTAATTTCATTGGAATAATATTTCACAAGTTGTATAAATTAAAGTTCCATCGCCAAAAGGTTCCTCTTAATTGGACTTTTCCGTAACACTTTTGATTTTTGAAGCATTTTTTGCCGTATTCTTAAAACTTATTCATGGTTTGCAATGGGTCCTAGATTTTGTTCTTTAGTGTTTATTTCGTTCTGTAGTGTTTGCAAAGGACAACCTTTTTTGAATTAGCTGTAGTTAGTGACTCAGTTTTCATCTTTAGAATTGTGGCTATTTATCGCAGCATGCTTGCTGTCAATTTATGTTGGTTATGGCAGACATGATCGTTACAGGGGAAGAGGTATAAATATTTAAATAGTTTTAAAATTTATTAATTTAATCAACTTGGTTGGCTTCGCTATAGTATAAGAGTCTTATAAGTAAAATTTTTGTCACTATTTGAACGATGTTATTTAATATTACGATAAGCGCAAATACCACTTGAAGTGGCTTTCATAATAAGGTGGCTCAATACAGTTTAAAAAATGGAAAATTCACTTTTCAGATCCGCATTTTTGGGCAATTATTTCAGGGAGAGTGAAAGGTCGTGTGTTTTATCAGGCTAGCCCACTAGTGCAATTATTAGAGACCTTACGATTTTAGGACGGCAACGCGACGACGACGGCCAAAACAAACTCCTTCAAATAAATAGTAGTGAAGATAGTTCGTCGTATATTATCAATCGTATGAATTTAATACAGTTTTAGAAGTTGAAGACATGGGTTAAATGTTTGGGAAGAGTTATACTGAAGCCAGTTTGAAGTTGCACTAGTCTTGTTGTGGCTTGGAATGCAGCCGTTGTATCAAGACGTGAAAATCTGTGATTTAGCGTCGTAAACAGAGCGAGGACAATGTCTAAATTATTCATATATTGTAATTACTCAATTCTTATCAATGATCTATTGTATTGGTAGCCGTTGCCGTCGCGTTGCCGTCCTAAAATCGTAAGGTCTTTATTACTTGTTGACTGAAAAACAAAAAGTATCTTACTGTTGTAAAACAACATCTAAAGAGTTTGTAATTTTCCACAAAAGTTACACAACTGCCGTTGCAATGGCAAAATTGTCAAAGTGATTGAGTATACTAAATGAGAAATCATTTTATGAAATAAAATTCGGGGTTTACGATGTCGTTTACGAGTTGAATTACTTTAACGCCAAAATATCCGCCATATTGAAGGTTATTGTTGCCTAATCAATGGTCATACATCAGTAAACATGAAATTTCATTCTACTTTCCTTCATAATTCAAAATTTCCTTTATATTCCTCCTATTGTGGACGTCAATATCGTATTGTTTAGCCAATTTATTTAATATAATCTTGATTTGCATGCATATAATCAATTTGCAACAATATGCTTGCATAATATTATATAAAATTATTATTACTAATATAGTCAGGATGTTGTACAGTTTTCTTTACTGTATCGTTTCAGTCTCTATCAACAGGTGTTGTTTTTCAGGGGCATATAAAAATATTTACAAATATACAAATATACTTAAAGTATAGGTGTGTCCCTGCATACATGAGTATTTCATGAGTATTTCAGTTGTGCCTAAATTACTAAAGTACTCGAGTAAAAGTAGAAGTTCTTCGCCACAAAATGAAAATAACGAAGTAAAACGTTACTTCTTAAAACGACTTCGTTCCAAGTAAACGTACTCGGTACTCCAGAAAAAGTTTACTCTGTTACATGCTAACTTCTCAAAAATAGTACTCGAGTACAGTAACGAAGTACATTTACTTCGTTACTTGACACCACTGATATTAATTATACTACTTTACATATTCATTTTAAAGGAATAAATAGATTGCGCTTCTTTCGCTTCCCGAGAAGGCTGTTCCAAAGTTTTGCCCCACTGTATTCAAAGCGGCTTTTTTCAGGAACTCCCTTCTCGGTTTTGGAAGATCTATCTCAGTATTACTGTTTCTAAGATTATAATTAACCTGCATTGAACTACTCCTTATAATCAGTGACTCTTTCAAATTAGGGACAGTGTAATAATTTAAAATTCTTTACAGAAGAATTGACTTGATCTTCTGTGATGTGGTCGTGTGTACCCAACCAAGAGATTCAATAACATCAGCAGACTTAATTTCGTAAATTTTCTCGCAGACTTTAGAGAAAAATAGTTGCTTAATTATGTTCACATCTACGCCCTCGATAGTCGGCAACAGATTTTTACTTTTCCTCCAGGAGATCACCGTCTCGCTTGTCTCGAACGCTTTTTTATCACCACCAGGCTATTTCCATGTTCCGGGTAGATTTAAGTCGATGCTAAAGAACTGTTTAAGTACTCATAGTCTCCCAACCAAGCAAACTGTAATCGATTCCGAGACGAAGCCATTAAGATCTCTTCGAAATGAACTGTGATCTTAAGTCCTTTAGTTAAGTCCTTTAGTTGACACAGTACGTACAGTACAAGTTCGTCAAAAATAGTTGAAGTAATAAAATACTTAGTAATGTGGTCCTTGATTGATTCAGCGGAGCTCTAAGGAACACGTCCGTTCAGGATGAGCTCACACGTGTGAGTTTTGATCGTGATATTGTATTGACGTTGTGTTGGCCGCAGAAACGTATATCTGACGTACCCTTCCATGACGAATTATCATATTTAAAACAGGTAGTCGTGGTTACGACGGTCGTCGTCGTTATGGTAGTCGTCGTGGTTACGGTGGTCGTCGTGGTCATGGCAGATGGTCAACAGCACCGACACTAACACCAGCACCGACAACAGCACCGACACCCGCAGAACCTACATCATGTTTTGACAATGTGCACTACGTCCTATGTTCTCCTCAAACGGATTACCATCCTTCTGTGTGTGACTGTGAAGACAAAGAAGAATGTTACATACAGATGACAATCACCAGAAATGCTGGCGTCATCTCTAGAGGGGATACCGGCAGTAAGTACAGCGTCAATGGCGGGAGAATTGGACCTACTATTATCATAAACCAAGAACAAATATTAGTAGTTGATGTTATCAATAATCTGGACAATGAGAATACTTCAATACATTGGCATGGCATGCACCAGCACAATGTGCCATGGATGGATGGTGTTGGAATGATCACGCAGTGGCCTATACCTCCTAATGGCGGAAAATTCAGGTATGCTTCATCTTCATTGATATTGTATATATTGTTTTTCCCGGCTTGAAACATTCATTCATGAAACTTAACATGTTTTTATATTTGGGCGTCTAAAAACTAATCAACCAATTGGCTTGTATTCATTTTAAGGCATGGCTTCCCAAGCTCAGGGCGTTTCTTAATAGTATAAAACACAACACATGCAGCACACTTTGTAACTTATCACAGTATTGGCTCCTTTACATGCTCCAGTAGTGAAACAGGATTTTAATTAAGATGAACTGGGCCCTTTTTACCATTCACTAAAAGGCTCAACCGGGTCGAGAAAGCTGCATTTTGCCTACTTTGCTATATATATATATATATATATATATATATATATATATATATATATATATATATATATATATATATATATATATATATATATATATATATACATATATATATATATATATATATATATATATATATCGTGTAACGTTACACGAGTGGAATCGTAAACGTGGGAAACCACAACATTCACATACAACATTGCCAGACTAATAGCTGGCTTTACGCATTGAAGGACTAACCTCCGAAATGCAACTAACATCATAACTTAACAAGTCGTTCTCAGCTTGACCTTGTAGCTCAGACGGTAGAGCATCGTTCTGGAAATACGAAGGTCGCGGGTTCGAATCCCAGCCGCGGTCAAGTAGAATTTTCTGCTTGCCCGGTTTGGTATACACTCGTCTGAAAACAACTCAAAAAACCATTACATATATATATATATATATATATATATATATATATATATATATATATATATATATATATATATATATATATATATATATATATATATACAGCTAATTCAATAAAGGTTGTCCTTTGCAAACCTTAAACTTTAAAACCTTAAACCTTAAACTCTAAGCGCGCAAAGCATGATGGGAGCACTGATTTCAAGCTTAGTAGTTGATTATTGCGGCTGTTTGTCAGTGAAATGTTTTTGCAGGGAGATATTTACCATGTCTCCAAGAAATGGTCTCCATATATGCTTTCTAAACTGCTTAAATCGTGCTCCCATAAGACTTTGCGCGCTTAGAGTTTAAGGTTAAAGGTTTTAGAGTATAAGGTTTCTAGGGACAACCTTTATTGAATTAGCTGTGTGTATATATATATATATATATATATATATATATATATATATATATATATATATATATATATATATATATATATATATATATATATATATATATATATATATATATATATAATTTCGCTTACCTCAAAATTCCGCAACAGTCTGTTTCATCAGTAAAGAATCATCAGGCGGTATGACAAGTTTCGAAAATAGGACTGCTTATATGTGTTTTGGCCGGAATGTGGGGGTGTGTGGGTGAAACAAAGCATGCATTCATCTATTGTTTGCGTTGTTTACGCGGAAATGCCTCCATCTCATACGTTTTATTACACTTTCCACTTTTTCAATCAAATTCTTCAAATAAGCGTCCTGCGATGGTATAGGAATATTCTTTAACGAATAGTCAAATCGAAATTGTCGCATTATGAATTTAGTAAGAAATGAGAAACGTAAACTAGAGTGCACGCAAACAATAGATGAATGCATGCTTTGTTTCACCCACACACACCCACATTCCGGCCAAAACACATATAAGCAGTCCTATTTTCGAAACTTGTCATACCGCCTGATGATTCTTTACTGATGAAACAGACTGTTGCGGAATTTTGAGGTAAGCGAAATTCTACATTTGCTCTATCTTTATGATATTGAGCACTCTTTGCGTTTCGTATACACAAACCTACTCGTATATATATATATATATAGCTTAAGGTTTTGGTTTACAAAACACAAACAGTGCTCAATACCATACAGATAGAGCGTAATATAGTTTTTCGTTTTACCTTTACCTCAAAAAACCACAACAGTCTGTTTCATCCGTATAGGAATCATCAGGATGAAACAGACTGTTGTGGTTTTTTGAGGTAAAACGAAAAACTATATATATATATATATATATATATATATATATATATATATATATATATATATATATATATATATATATATATATATATATATATACATATATAATTATCTATATCATCTATATTATCTATATCATTATCTAAATTATCTATATCATTATCTATATCATTATCTATATCAATATATTCATTGAATTGGTTATCATTATTGAGCTACGAACATTTGTTTACAAACGAAGTTTAACATTGAAATGTACTTGTGAACTTCGTGGTGACGTTCACAGCCAATTCTCAAACTTGAAATTGGCAAGTTTGAAACGAACTTGGGGCTGGCGCGTTGAAGAGTGACTTGAATGGACTGGTCTTCATGTAATATTTCAAATTCGATTATGACGGCTGGACTAGATTTCAAGTCCGCGCAATTTGATCAAGTCTAAGGCGAAGCCGAGGACTGGATTGATTGATTGTGATTGTGATTGATTGTGAACTTTATTTACCCACGGTAGACTTATCAGGATTTTACATAAAAAATGATAAGAGAATACAATATAGTTACAGATGACAGAATATAAAAGTTAATTAAGATACTAATTATGTATACATACTATACTAATACTAATTATGTATACATACTATACTAATACTAATTATATATTACAAAAATACCTGTTTTCCATAAGTGCCGTGCTAATATATTAATATAAAAATCTAAAATTATTGACTAATGTATAAAGTTGCTGCAGTCTGACTTGAATTTACGTAATGAGTTAGACTGTCTCAACTCAACCGGAAGGGAGTTCCACAGCACAGAACCACTATAGCTAAAACTATTTTTCAGGTAATTTGTGCGCGGTTGAGCTAAAGCTAATTTTCTACTGGCGTCTCTCAATGTATAATTTGTTACGCTACTTCGATCAACAAACATTTCAGACAGGTAGTCTGGCACAAAACCATTAAGAGATTTATAGACCATTATAGCTTTGGCAATTTTTCGCTGAGATTCAAGGTTTTTCCAGCTCAATTTTTCAATTAGATATTCAGCATTTGTATCATAACTAGATGAAGTAAGTACTCTAGCGGCTCGATTTTGGAGTTTTTGCAGTTTATTCGCAAGAGTACTGCCGCAACTATCCCAGACAACGCAACAGTAATCGAAATAGGGTTGAACTAAGCAATTGTAAATAAGTTGCATTGTGGAAGGTGAGACGAATGGCCTTGAAGGTGAGACGAATGCGAGGACTTGAAGTATAGTCCAGTCGTCATAGTTGGATTTGAAATGACATCTCGTACGAATAAATCACTGCTTGAAGTTGAGGTGAATTAATTTTGATCCAGTCCAAGGACTTAATCAATTTTGATCCAGTCTTAGGACTGGATCAATATTCTTCATCAGGTATGCAGTATTATCATGTGAGCAAAATAAAGCAATATACGGTTGACTAATTTACTCATGAACTATTAATGAGTTTGAGATGTACACTTAACTGTACATTCGGAAAAGGACCTCATTAAAACTTCCATGGCCCAGTATTTGTAATGAGTTTGGCAATAACAACGGCATCGTCAATGAAGACGTGATCACCAACATTAGATTTTTTCTCTGAATTACAAAGACAACTATAAATTGTATTCCCTTGAGCATTCTAGTCATAGATTCTACAGGGTGTTCCAAAAAATAGCCCCTCTGTTGTTGGTTAATATATTGTCATTTCCCTTTAAGAGGCAAATAAAGTTCAGTAATGTATGCATTTATAGCTCGCATACAAAAATGCAACTAGTAATTTTGTTTCCTGCCGTTTTCGGATGCCAAACTCTCTTGTATATTACATTGTTATATAGTTAGTGACAAAGTTCAATTTTTCTGTTTGCCGATTGGTTAAAACCGTATCACGTGCCGGTCCACAAAACGTCATGTTCGGCAACCGGTCCGCAATGAAACATTTATTGACCGGTCAATTATAATAAAATGGGTGCAATACGCATGCGTGTCAACCATGAAGTTCCAAAGTTCATTTTTTTTTTACGGCGTTCCATTTACCAGTTTTGGTTTCAAATTAAGTTCACTCCAATAACCGGTGAATTATTCGCATTTTGACACTTATATACTATATAACAAAACACTTATTTACTGAGACCTCGGGAAAGCAGTGTGTTTTGTGGCCCTTCGACCGCCGTTGTTACCCTCGGCTTCGCCTCGGGCAACAACGGCGGTCTTGGGTCCACAAAACACACTGTTTCCCTCGGTCTCACTAAATAAGTGATAATTATCTGATACAACACGGCCGCTTATGTGCTGTCTGTATATATTACATGTTAGATACATTCTCCGAGCTCATCCCTCAGGAACCAATTGGTATCATTCTCACGTGGGAATACAGAGAGATGAAGGCATTTTTGGTGCTTTGATCGTAAAAGAGGAACAAAGAGTGGTCAGCTTGTTGTCCTCGAGAATGGGAAATAATTCTATCCAAGATAATCGATATCATATGATAGCTATCACAGAACACATGAAACAACAAGTTCAGAACCCACAGTGTTCACCTGATGGGACCAGCACAGCTACTGACCTTAAAATCTATTCATTTCAAGTGAACGGAATAAAACTGAATCAAACAATAGACAAAGACGGCGGTTCTCCACAGGTAACTTTTACAATTTGAGTTTTTCAACAATAGTTATGCAAACCGAAAAATGATGTGTTTAAGAGCGAGGCCGAGGGGCAAATCACTCCTAAAAAGTGTAAGAGACCATAGAACCATACGATCATTTTTGTGATTTTTCAATTTTTTTGTGATTTCTTAGTGAATTTTATTTCATTTTTTCTGGTTTTATGTGGTAGTTTTTTATTTTTGTGATTTGTTTTGTAAGTTTTGTAATTTTTCTGAAGGTTTACGTGATTGAAATCAGTGATTTGTCCTTCGCTTGAGAGGTCAATAACCACAGAACACATAAGATCCACTAGATGGGTCGTTTTTTGCACTCGTAAAAAAAACCCAATTAATCTCGTTATAACCTCAATTCGTCACATGACACCGGTACGGAAGGAAAAAATTAGGGGGCAGAAAGAAAAACAAAATTTCTGTGTAAACTTTCCAATATTCTTGTCGACAGTGGAGGTGGGAGGAGGGGAGGGGGGGGGGTTGGAAAATATTTCGAAAGGGTTGACTTTTTTCGAAACCAATCATATATTTCTTGCATTTTCGACTCATTATCGTATTTCTTCCATCTTTTTGCTCGTTTGTAATTTGCCCAACTTCATTTCCCTCAACCTGTATGCAAAGCTTAATCATTGTTGATGAATCTTACAATAGAAATTACAATTTTCAGGAACCATCCTTCGTTGTATCTCCTGGAGAGTATCATCGTTTTCGAGTTGTTGGAGCCATGGAAGAAACCGTTCTTCGTGTTTCTATCGACGATCATAAATTGTTTGTGGTTGCTACGGACGGATATCTTACAGAACCATTTGAAGCTGACATTGTGCATCTTCATGCGGGCGAGCGTTACGACTTTATTTTGAAGGCACGTGACGATGTTCCTTTGGGAACTGTTTTTCCAATTAGAATAGAATCTGTCGACGTGTATTGCAAATACCACGGCCAACCTGCACGCGTTGGCTTCGCATATCTGAAATACTCAACATCAGGAACAGTCACGACGGGAAGGGTACCACAAGATTCAAAGCGGTGTATTAAAGATTGTATAGCATTGAATTGTCCTTTCGCTGCTTATCCGGTAGCTCATAAAAATATTTCAAATGCTCCATCTTATAAATGCAACGACGTGTATGATGCTCTTAGTCTTCTCGATCCAACTCCGGACAACGAGCTTTCTGAGGATACAATGCCAGCGAGCACGAAGTTTTTCAACCATGCTATCAACTTTACTAATAATGTATTTACAGCAATGGTTAATAACATTCGGTTTGCGTCCCCCAATACTCCCTTTCCCGTGAGTGGACAAAATCCTGTACAAGATGAATGTCCTTATCAGACGACTACGGACTGTAAAAAATGCCCACATACAGTTTCTGTGCTTAAAGAACACCTGTCGAAACCGATAGAATTCGTGCTCTCCTCACTTCCGCGAGACAATATACCTCAACAACAACTGATCACAAAGCTCGGAACACACCCCATTCATCTGCACGGTCGATCATTTTGGGTGAAAGAAATTGGCTATCCAGAATATTCTGATGAAGGAATTATTCAGAATGTGAACGCTGATGTGGATGTGCCAGCGTGTGGTTTTGGAAAGTGGAGGAACGGAAGACCATCTTCAATCAAACCAGTGAACAATACATCAATCCGGAAAGACACAATTATCGTCCCAGCTGGTGGCTATGTCGTCATTGAGTTCGTGGCACATAATCCAGGATCGTGGTTAATGCATTGCCATATTGACCATCATCTGCAAGTGGGGATGGGAATTGTCATAAAGGAATTGCCGGAATGTGCGAATCCTCCTCCACCGCAATTTATGAAACCAGCTAAGGACGTTTGCATCGGCGTTGACGACTTTCTTGAAAGAGAGAGCACTCATGTCTGTGCAGCGAACAACGCGATAGCAGCTGACGAAGAACTACCGAGCGAATTGGAAAAAGACGAATTTGAAGATTTCAACAGCTCTAACCACGACGATAACGATGAATCTGCATACCGCCAACTGAAGAAATCGCTGGATTACGAAGAACAACAACAGCACCCAAGAGCCAATTTACGTGGATTTCAAAACGGCAACGGAGAGAGCCGAGAATGGTTCAAGAAAAAATGAACAAAAGCTCTCGCAATTTGAAAGTTGAGTTCTTTTAAAGTAAGATTGCTTATATACCATGCTTGCAATAAGTTTCAGCTGTGAATTGCTAACATTTAGATCACCCAAAGGACTAAAAAAAACTCATCAAATTGTTATAATATTTTGACATTTTAGCCTAGAACTTTTATCTTAAATTTGCTGCACGTTTATGTAATTTACTGCATGTTTATGTACCAGTATAATGTAGATTTCTGCACTTTTTGTAGTAAGTACAGTTAAATATTACATATTTTGCTTTAATCTTACAGTTTTTATCAGTTGTTAACATCAACAAGAGCAGGGGCCCGGGCCAGTTGTACGAATTCGAATACTGAGCATTATCCGCGGCCAATCTTTTCAAGCTTCCTTAAAGGAGATTGGCAACAAAAATTGCTTCATCTATCTTATTGCTTCATCTGAAAGAGCATGAAAAAATAAGCCGATTGGCCGTTTAATGCTCTATTCTATCTCATCTAGTTCCGAAGTTATACGCAAAAATGTGAAAATATAAATTGCTGATTCAGCACAACGTGTGACGTCATTACTGGGTAAGTATGTTTATTGAATACTACACTGAAGCATAGCTCAGTTATTATGGGCCCAAATCAAATGAAATTTTCGCATACTGATTGTACATGATGAGACGCATGGAAAAACACTTCTAATTTTGTTGCCAAGGTAACAATGTCGTTTCCAGGCCCCTTGCGCCAATTTTATGAAACAGCTTTATTCAAGGTACTGATAAGAATAAAATAATATCAGAAGTATGTGTATGATACCAATGAATGCCAAAAGTTTACTTGCATGATAATAATTCCAAAATGACATACACATAGATAAATGCAACTAGTTATTCAAAATCAGTGTAAGAGGCCTGGGAACGACTGTGTTGCCTTGACAACAAAATTAGAAGTATTTTTCCCATGCATCTCATCATGTACTATCTGTATGCAAAATTTCATTTGATTTGAACTAATAATAACTCAGCTATGCTTTAGTTTACTATTCAATAAACATACTTACCCAGCTTATGACGTCACAGAATGTGCTGAATCAGCAATTTATATTTTGCACATTTTTGCGTATAACTTCGGAACCAGATGAGATAGAATAGAGCAGTAAACGGCCAATCGGCTTATTTTTTCATGCTCCTTCAGATGAAGCAATAAAATCAATAAAATTTTTTGTTGCCAATACCCTTTAAATTGGCCGTTGACTGGTATAAACCAGATTAAATTTAAATGTATAAAAATTCTAACTTTCCTTTTACTAATCCATATTCATAGTCTTAACACTTTTCACAACCTCGTTCCCAGGACTTTTCTCAAAAGCCCTGAGAACGAGGTTGCACTTTTCAAGCATTTTACAACAGTTGAAAAAATCACCATTCGGTGAAGAGAGTTATGTCATTAAATTATTCTGAATTTACTTTTTTCTCAAGCTTCAGCTTTTAATTAATATTCCACGCTAGTAGAAACTAGTAGTGCTTTAGTACTTACCAAGTGAAGCGAGTACGAGTAAATAAATTATTATACATGTTCACTTGGATTACCTACAAAGCCCAACATTCAGATACAGCTCTCGTATTAGATAGAACCAGAAAACCTTTCCAATGTAATGCCCTATATTGGCTGATATGGGAAATATTTGCAAAACCTGAATTTCTGAAAGATTCAATTTTCGCAATTTTTTCAATTTTCTTGCAACTATGCCTACCGTATTTACTGCCAAATACACGTCAAAACATGCTTCTGGTGGTACTTTGACCCTTCTACGGCAAGCATCTCATTGTTTTGACCGAGTCAAGTTGTACTATTTCCTGTTTGGACGCACGCTATTGACACGCTACAAACTGAAATACCAAAATATAAGATGAAAATCGGAAGAAACAAGCTTTACTATTTAAAGGTTTTCTCAAAAAACTGACATAACTCTCTTCATTGCCACAATCGTAAACGCGGAGAGTTATAAAAAATGATAACTCTCTAACATTTTCATAATGTTAACGAGAGAGAGTTACGTCAAACATAACTCTCTCTTGTTACTTCAAGGAAACGTCGGGAGAGTTACGAAATTAGGTGTGGTCATTGGGGAAAGTGGGCGTGGTTTGGGCGTGGTTCGACCATAACTCTCCGAAATCATAACACTCCGAGATAACTCTCCGGTTGGTAACTCTCCCTTTAGTCATACCCCCAACAAGGCCGCCATATGTCGTTTGTTGAGTTGGTCCATGAGGAATGAATGCAAACGCTCTATATGTCGGGCAGCTAGACAATGTTTTAAAAAAACTCAATGTCCTGCAGCATTTGTTATACAAATTGAAGTTACAATTTTATGTATACTATTTAAAACACGAGCAGTGAGTGCTTTATCAGATATGAAACACGAGAGCGAAGCTCGAGTGTTTTATATCTGATAAAGCACATGGCTTAAAAAACGACCCATCTGATAAGAACATTGGCGAAGTATATAATTTTTAAAATGAACGTCTAAGCCGAGAAAATCAAAGCTAAAGTTTATGTAAATTAAAATGATTTTTATCACATGTAAAACCACCGACGCGGCAATGATTTCCCTTGTCTTTTCTTCATGAATTATTAATGCGTTTTTTAAATTAAATATATAATCAGACTGTCTTGATCTGTATGTGTGTAATAACACTTTTGGTTTTGGTTGCATTGCGCCCAATTATTTTACTAAAGAACCGATTAAACGAGTATGAGAGTTGATAAGAGATGACAGTCACGCATTGTTGCTGGGGATATTTCAAGCTCTAGATTAACAAAATAAAGGTTTAAACTTTAAATAGAATACATGATAGTGTCGAGAAAGCATTAAGTCAAGAACAGCTAGCCAAGGTCACGTGACTGCCAACTCTCATCCCCTCCCATCGCTTCATCCCGGCTTATTAAAATGATTTCATTTGTCAAGGGGGGAAGCGATGTCAGCTTTATAGGTAAACAAGTACAGGAAATTACCAGAGACATACTCACATTATTTTTTACCCAAAATATTAAATCAAAGAATTGAAAGTGATATATTTACAAGGTCACTAGGGCGTTAAAATACAGCGCCATTGTTATGTACGTCTTCAATATTACAGTCTGCGCGCTATGCGGCAAAACAATGACAGCCCTAGTTCACTTTGCAGTTCACTCAGGAAAGTAGTAAACATTACCTGATCACGGTACATAGAGATGATCAACTTCATAAATGTACACAATCCGAAAAGAATGCCTCAGTCTATAAGCTGTGTTTGCCAGGCTGTTCGCAGGGATTATGAACGCGGAATTACCAAGACACAATTTGAGTTCCTCAAAATTGAACGTCTGTTTCCGAAAGAAAAAAAACGTGAGATCGTTTTAAAGTCGTACCTACCAGCTTCTTATTTGTGTAAGTAAAGTTCGTCAGTAATAATGGCCACCTCGAATCTTTCGTACGAGAAAAATCTCAAAAATCTCTCGCGTGATGGAGTTTCAAATTTCAATTCATGTAAATAGTGCAGAATTATAACCAAAAATTACGACAAGAAATGATCTTATTCGTTCGTCTGTGAACTTGCACACACTAAACTGGAATAATTTCGAGAAAAGATGTTCTCAGCAATTCAAAGCCTTCATGTACAAATGCGACTATCTTTCAAACAAATACACTCCAGCTAATACGATACATAGCTATAATTTGCGTGACTCTGACCTTTGACCGAGTTACTCAAGATTAGCTTTACCTATAGAGGATATGTCGTGTGGAATAACCTGCCTGTTGAATGTTTGATGCAATTAATGCTACATCTGTAACAACATATCTATGGTACGTAACAACTTTAAAAAACATTTTAAGGCAATCGTCATATAGTATACAAATAATGAATGTTTATGAGTGCAATGGTCAGAATATTTTCATGAGGTGAAAGAGGGAAATGAACATTCCATTCAACGAGGCGACAGCCGAGTTGAATGGAACATTCCATCTTTCACCGAATGAAAATATTCTTACCATTGCACGAATAAAAACATTCATTATTTGTTTTATATAATACCAAAATAGACTAATATTAAAAGGTTCAGCTGTAAGCTCCCGCCATTTTGACGAGTCGTATTTGCATTAAATCCCATTTACTGTGTTTCGAATATCGGGTTAAAATAAACTGCGATCACCGTACGAGAAGCATTTTGACGGATGCGATTTATCGAAAACACAAAGAGTGCAATGGAATAAAACGTATAGTACAATTGCAGTACTCGATTCCATTGCACTCCTGGGAAATGGAATTTTCTATTCAATATCACGTGACCATAAACAGCCAATTAAACGATCAAAATTCAATAACGTATTATATAATTAGTGTTGTTATGGTTAATTTTTGAAACTTTACTGATAGTTTGTTAATTAAATATCTATTGTATACCGCTCCGTAGAAAAGCACATATTATGAATGAACACCATGCTCACTGTAAGTAAAGTTTAAAATAAAACAAAAAAGAAAAGGTTACATAGTATTAACCTAGGTTAATATCATAGGAACCGCGCGCAGTCTGGGCACGACTTATGCCCTCAATCTAATATAAAGAGTGCAACAGACATACATGTCACTCTGCATAGAGAAGTCAAATTCTTCATGATAATTGTTGACTTTCGGTTTTTAATTTCCGCCGAACACTTAGTTTGGTGTTCAATAAGCCTTCGTTAGTTGGCAGTTGTTAAGCCTTCGTTCGTTGGTTACCTATGTAACCTGTTCTCAATGCTTTCCAAACGCAAAACGTAGTTGGAACACTCATCATCAAACCTTTATTTTGTTAATCTAGAGCTTGAAATGTCTCCTGCATGTAACAATTCCTGACAACCTTGTACCCAGGGTCCCACCAGAACCTTTAACCACGGGGACCCTGGTGACAAGGTTGAATTCGTGACTGCTAATAGACCTTTCCCCTTTTGAGTGAAATTTTGATCTAGACGGGTCTGGACAAAAATTTCATCACAGATGACAGTTTGAAAGAGCATCACAAAATTAGTAATATTCCAAAGTTTCGTTGCGAAATGTTGTAAAATGCGGATAATATAGCCTTGCGAAGTTTGCCGTTTTCCAGTCATTTTGTACTACAAATGGGAAATTGATAAAATTTGTAATGCAAAATGACTGAAAAACGGAAAACTTCGCAAGGCTATATTATCCGCATTTTACAACATTTCGCAACGAAACTTCGGAATATTACTAATTTCGTGATGCTCTTCCA